CCACTTGGCTGGCCCTCTTCATATTTGTATTTAGTTTTGGTAAAATATTTCATTTGTTGTTTACCAATGGTTTTGTTTCTGATATTAATATTCCCCAATTTGCTAGTGAGAGTTTGATTTTTTAAAACCTTCTTGTACTCTGTAAAAGAAAAACTACTACTTTTATGAATTCAGCTTCCTTTTCGCCGTCTTTTAAATGATGTCTCTCAAATACTTCTGCACTTAATTTTTGTTGAGAAACAATGTAAACACTTGTAACACAGATGGCATTAAAGAAGTGTAGTTGTTTTCTTGACTGACATTATGTCTTTTTCATTTGTCTCTTTGTTACTTAATTCTAATGCAGATACATCAAGAAATCTGGAATTTCATGAAATACACAGCACTGGGAATGAGCCTCCTTTGCTGATTATGATTGGCTACAGTGATGGCATGCAGGTCTGGAGCATCCCTGTAAGTAAGAAGATGGCTGACTCTCTAAAATATAATACTTTGTAGCAGGCTAGCTGATGGGGCATCTGGCTGTACTTCCAGCAAGGTCTCATGCATTTATTAGAAGTAATTGCTTAGGGGTTGCTATGTGTGCAACACCATAGAACGCTCAAGGAATAAGGGGCAAGTGAGAAATCAGAGATGCTGTAAATGATTGGAGAGTGGGCCAGAAATTGTGGGAATCCAGTTTACATGCAAGATCTCATTTTTCGTCATGGTAACTCCATTAAGTAAGTATTAGTCTTCTACCCCCACCGCCACCCCCATTTTACACATGACTAAGGAGGCTTAAAGAGGGTTTCTTTTAAAAATTAGCAATCATAAAACAATGTTTTGAATTAGTTAAAACTTTCACTTGGTACAAAATTCAGGAGATAGTATATAAAAGGGTAAAAACTTTCTCCCACCTTTGTCCCCCATTTTCCCTACCTTGAGGTAACCAGGATTTCTAGTTTCTTATGTATCCTTATAACTATATTTTTTTGGAAATAAAAACATATATAAAGACATTTCTCCCACTCTGCTCTTCCCTAACAGATGGGAGCATGTTATACTACTTAGTCGGTACCTTGCTGTTTTTTACTCATGAAGTTAGCATTCTGAGCACTGCTTCACTAAATTTTATAGCTGCATAAATCTATTATTTGGATTTCCTTAATTTATGTGATTGTTCCCTACTATTGAAAAAACTTAAATGTCCTTTTATTAAAATTAGAAACTGATGTAATACATGAACTTGAACAAAGGTCATTTTATGCATGTGTATACGTAGAGGGTAAATCCCAATTTTGACAAATGTTTTCAAGTGCCGAATATTCGTCCCAGTTTGCCTCTTAAATCCTACATGCTCCTCTTTCGGATGACCAACAATAAAATGTCCTAAAAGAGAAAGAGGCTTGGTAGGACCACAGCTTAATGAAGTAATAGTAGGGGCTGCATACTAGGGCTTGTACTTACTTACATTCTGGTTTTTTTTTTTTAAAGATTTTATTGGGTAATCGGGGAAGGGGAACAGACAAGTTGCTGTCCTTTTGTTCTTCAGTCTAGTTGTGGAAGACATTGCTTCACTGGCCCATGTTGGTATTATCATTGTGCTCTTCCCGGGTGAGGCAGTTCGGTTGCTGGCCACTGGACGGCCGCTCATGGCGGCTCTTGGCAGTTCACGGCGGCTGCCAGCCGCTTATGCTGGCT